CTTCATCACCTTCTTCTTGCTCATCCATAAAAAAGTTCACTGTTGAAAGTTTATTGATATAGAATAATGTAAATGGCTTTATTATTAAACAAAAAATAGTATTGATTACTGAAGGATTTGTAGTTTGTTTGATTAATTTGATTTTTACCTGAAAATGCGCGAATTGATGACGTTTTTATAACTAATGTCTATCTATTACCATTACTTTGTTTTGATACTAATTGAATTTAATTTTTTATGGTTAAGGATCATGATGAAATATGACAATCATTAATTAATTACGTTTTATAGAGAGACATATGATAAGTAGAATCAAAGATGTAAGTCGTTAAATTACATTGGTAATGGCCAAATTTTGATCCTGAAACCTTCTGGTGATGCAAATGTTTATATTACAAACATTACGTAAAAAGATTTAAAGATTCGCGAAAAAAAAAAACAGATAAAATAACGAAAGGTGTATTTGACTTTCTATATCTATTAGACAAAGAAGCAAATAGGTTATTGACTTAAGTTGCCAATCAATTAATTAATTTTGCCATTTACTTTATATTTCTTAAAATATAAACAACATAAAGAGAAAGAAAAAACGTACATATTGTGTAATCAAATAAAATCAAAGAATAAAAGTAAAAAAGCTCGTTGTAAAATATCCATTTTAATCTACTAATTTTTTCCAAAAAAAAAATATATATATTAAATTTTATAAATACATTTTTTTTTTTGATGTCAAGATTATTTTATCAATGATGAATTAATTATATATATAATTTCTCTGCTAAATTTGATTTAACAAAGATATAATTTTTCTAAAATACTAAATATGGGCTATTTTGCCAAAAACTCTATTTTTGCAATCTTCTACACATGAAAAATAATTTAATGGAAAGTTTTTTTAGTAAAAAAAAAGGAATAATGGTTTAAAGTGGGGCAACTTTACTATGTTATTTGAAATTTCGGCAACCGTCTAAACCACGATTTACCGATTATTTTCACGATTTACCGATGATCACGTGACAAAGTCGCGAATCTTTTAAATTGGGATTTATTTTTATATATTGAGTTCTTTATAAAGCACCATATGCGGATTTTTTGCTGATCAAATAGATGTAAAAATTTTAATATAAAAAATAAACAAATTCAAACTCTATCTCCTCCATCAAATAGACCTCTGTTTAAAATTAGTATATAAGTACTACATAACATATAATTCAAAATAAAGGTTTTATTTTTTTAATTTTTTGTTTATAAAAAAAAGTTGTATGCAAAAAAAAGTTTTAAACAAAAATAGAAAAAATTTTAATAAAATTTTTAAAAATCTAAAACCTTTAAGTGGAAGAATATATTCCAAACTTTTATTTGATACTAATTTTATAACTCTGGAAAAAGAATTGGTGGACTAGATAGATTTTGAAAATTTCGTAGATGTATATATATATGAAATCCATTTTAGAAAGATCATCACATTTCTAATCTAAAAAGTATTCAAAAACGCATTTTTTCGAAAATTCCGCAAAATCTTACATAATAACTACATTATTTGGTAGCTCAGGTTATTATGATCATGAATATAAAAATTAATGTTTTGTATATCTGAAGCTTTTTTAATTTTAAAGTATCACAAAAACGTAACACATAATACATAATTATGAAATTAATTACGCGTGATGAAATTAATTACAGGCGATGAAATTAGTGATGAAGATAATTTTGGAGAAGAAGCAGCAAAAGCAATTTTAGGAGAATATTTATAAGAAAAATTATAATGAACGATATTATTTATTATTATTATTATTATTTATTATTTTATTATTTGTTAAATTGATCTGCATTTTCCTAATAAAAAATCCTCACATATGATTTTTTATATGTGCGCTCAACTATGTTTGTGTTTATGCTGATATGTAACACCCCATTAGAGAACCCATTTTTAGTATTTTTAAATAAGATAAATATTAATAATAATACAAATGCAAAGAAAGAAGAAAAACAAGGAATTAAATTTGGTTCCCTCATTTATTTTCTCGGATAATGCATAATCTCAGCAATCATTTTTTCCAATTAGGAAAAATCGCATGTTCTGTACCAATATTTGCGTGAATATCCATACAAAGACGGATCCTCTATCCATTTAACATAATGGATAAAGGACTTGCCTTTCAGAAATGTCTGAATTAGTTGATATTACAAGTTATTATTATTAGCAACATATTTGTTGCAAATACACACGGTTTATGGGATACTAATACCATATAAAGAGATACAATGAAAAAAATGCAGGAAATACATAGATAAACGAATAGACAAATAATAATAAATTTCCATTTTTTTTAAATAATAATTCGATATTTTTTATATAAAAAGTGCGTCGAAAAATCTTTCTATTATTGAAAATTCTGTTTTAAAAAACCCCTTCTACAAAAACGTCTTTCAACTTTTTATTTATAATAACAAATGACAGAGAATAATTTCAATGATAATATTGAACCTATTAAGATTGTTATTAATGCTGATAAAATTGAAGAA